TATCTCCCACCACCTATTCTAGTATGTCATATCTCTTGGATGCTTAGAACAATCTACTTATCGGTGCGTAGGAGATCGCTGTGTGTGTGTGTATTATTCATTTATTTTACATTTTTTCAAGTCGTGGCACGTTCAATGACCAAACCTATAAGATCTTGGTTTTGTTCTTCTACATCTACAAACATATATTAAATTATACAGCATATAAAGATGGTGAAGGTGAGCAAGGTGGTGAGGGAGACGTATGAATAACATAGTTCATTTGTAGCTCAATTCAGAGGGAAGAATAAAATAGAGAGAAAGGGTAGGTGGGTGGGTTAGTGACGTAGCGGAAGCTCATAGCAAAAATGGAAAAATCTCACAAAAAATTTCAACGAATAGAAATTCCAAAAAAAATTATTTCTTTCAACCAATACGGCTTCAAAGGGCTTACAATGCTTTATATAGCGAAAACCCTAAGAAAATTCGGAAAAATTACATAATGAGAAGAAAGACTTTTTTCCAAAAATGGAAAAAATCGAGATAATTACAGAATTTGAAAGTCATAATCGTCAAGATCATCATCCAAAAAATGGAATTAAAATCTGAATTTATTTGATTGAGATATACCGAAAAAAAAAATTACCAAAAAAGGAAAAAACACATAAACGAGGGAATTTGCCCGGAATTGGCCCTGCATTGGGGGGAAAGCCCCTAAGTCTTGTTTATTGGTCCATTTCCATTTAAATTTGACTAAAATCTCGCAGAAACTGACAACTCCAAAATTTTTCCTAAAATTGGGAAGTTGCCTATTTCTGTTTTCGCCGGTCCCACTTTGCCATAAAGTCTGATTCCTTCTGCACCACATCATTCTCCTCTGGTTGAGAAAAATTCGCCCCGAAATTTGGAGGAGAAGCAACATCTTCATTAGAATTATCCCCACTAAATGGCACAATTAAAATCGTCGAATGTACGAATATGACACGGAACCTTCAAACTATAAGCATTAGGATGCAAGCTTGGTGTATTCATGAGCAAGAATACGATCCTTTGTTAACACCGCCCAACAAAGTCACCTACCTCGAACTCGACACGTTGACATTTAAGATCCGCATCGTGCT